CAAGTCTCCGCTTTCTTATGGCGAAAGCCGGAGCTCTCTAGCTGGCTTCTATCAAAAGTTATTAAAAAAACAACGGAGTCCATTCTATTTTGGTACAGACAGTAGATCTATCTATTTCAGCTTTTAATTGTAATATGTATGATATTCACTACAGTTATGACATTTGAACAAACCGTTATCCTTTTCTCTCTTCCAAGTGCATATTTATTGTCATCGTTTTTATACTAGACTATTTTTTGTTTAACTTGTTGTATACCTTGAAATTATGAGAGAGATGGACGTGACAATGAATGCGTCCCCGACATAAACATTGATGTTTAACTATCACTTTTTTTTCTCATCACTTTTCTATTCGATTTTTGTATAAAAAATTTATCTCATTCTGTGGCAAGTGCGTCTTGTGTTTTACGTCTTACCTGAAAATTTGTGTACATCAAAGGAGAAACGATTATCTTTTTCATCCTATGTGTTTATCTCACTTGTCCTCAGAAGTGATAATAACATCAAAAGCGGCTGCGGCGTACATGAGAGTGAGTCACAAAGAGCTGTTAAAAACTATTATCTCTTTGGGCCCTAGCCGTTTATCTCGTTGATATTGAATTAGTAACGAGTAAAGCTACTAAAAAAGCGTTGAATTGGTAGCTCATTTTTTATGCTTCTTGTATGAACCTGCACACTGTGCAAAGTTAGATTTACATACAGTTGTGACTATAGATAGTATCTTACGCATACTACTTATGCTTCACATATGAGCATTTAGTATTGTCCTAATGTTGAAATATTTGGCAAACAAAGTTTGTTTTATTCGTTTCGGTGTGCCGTTATATGATTTCAAGGGAGCAACGTTTGATCAAAAAATTTAAGAAATCTAACTAAGTGTGGATCTCTACCGACTGTGGCAATACGAACCAAAAATAAGAATATTGATTGTAGTAACTTGTTTGATATCTATATACAATTATTATGAGAGTGAAATAATAATTTTTAACAATGATACTTGTCCCCCACCAAATTCGATTCGTATACTAATGGCGATATTCGAGTGTACCGATTCTTGTTGTTAGAACGGATGAATGGACGACTGTTGCAAATTTGAAGAGAAATCAAAGAACAGTATAGCAAATATACTAGTTTTAAGAGCGTCGAAGCTGCTATATAGATTGAAAAGAATATCGATTCTTTTGACAAAAGTGATAATATAAACTCTACCATCAGAAACCCCGTCGATTTTTCAAAACGTTTTTAAATACATTCTTCCGATCAAGATTTTTTCAATATATTTTTCAAAAAATTCAACTACTTTGTTGAAGAAATTAGACTTTTCCGAGACTCTGAGCCTCAACTATTCCACAAGTGCTTGACAAAGATGTCATCAGAAAACTGACTTATACTGTCCAAGTGACCTAAAGAGGATATTGTTTATTTTTGAGTTTTTGCCAGCCAATTAGGGAGCATGTCACAGAATGACGAATTACTAGTAACAGCACTGTGAAGTACATTGCTCAAAAACTGGGTATTAATAAACTTTTATTAATCTTGAAAGTACTCATTTTTTTACTGGTAGTTCTAGATAACACTATATATAATTTTTTGGCGATCTCTTATATTCTGTTAACTTCAGTTCAAATCGACCTTGTTAGGAAAACCGTCAAAATTCACGAGTAACTGGATTGGAATTTTGATTTAAAGTAAAGCTTGATTATACTTCTAAAAAGCAAATTTTGGATTTGCTACCGAATAATTAAACTGATCAGTGTTACTTGTGTTATTCGCAATTGTAAATGAGTAAATGCTTTCGTGAGTAACATAAACAGGTATTGATTTTATTCGTACATAAAGTCAATAATAAAGTGTTGTTTGTAGGTATAATTGAAATAAAGATGGTGAAATATAAACTTCTGTTCTTTTCTTGTTTTATTCTTTAAGAAAAACAAACAGAATGTTTCTTCGTTCTATCACCTATTACACACAAGGATAGATTGTTCTAGGTGCTTATTTACATGGTATAAACGTATATATATATGTACTCTCGCCATGTGTGCTCTTGACGATACCTACGCTTTTTTCTCATTTTAAACGAGACGAAAAACAGTGTCTGTTATGTAGGGCACTTTATTAGACTAGCGAAAATGAGACCTATTTAGATAAGGGAACAGAGTGCTGAGTTTGCTGTGGACATCCTCTGAATTTACTACATGATTCTCTATTCATACTGATTTCTCCTTTTCAGATGGAGATTAAAACATGACAAAAACATTGCCTGCTTGACGAACGCATTAAAATTTGATTGGCACTATGTTCTCGAACAAAAGTCGGAGTAAAACATAGTCTGGACGTAAAGCTTGGAGCGAGGTCCAGCTATACTAACGGACGACGCGTCTGCTGTTACGACATAATCAGAGGCATATACGCCGTCAAGACGGGCAGCGTGACTGTGTTACACAGCCGCTACCGTCACCATAGTCTTGCTCTACACGGGTCACGCGAACCGATGAGCGGCATTTTAACTTTTTGGACCTCTTCTTTCTTTTTCTCACGCAAATTGAACAATACCGTATTCAATTTTCGTTTCAATCCAGTTACCGGTAATAAATTCACCAATGCGATTTTTGACGGCTTGCCTTACAGACAAAATAGGACAAGTTTTATAACTTAGTTATCTCGATTATTTGAAATGAGACAAAATCGCAGATAGACTATGGGTGATTATATGTTTTCCGTCCCTGAGTAGGCCTTATCATATCTGTTGTTATACATAAGAAATCTAATTATTATTCTAATCGAAGGATAAAACTAAACGAAATCACGAACAAGTCAAATTTTTACAGTGAAAACAAGTATCTCAAGCGAACACATATGTAAAATTACACCTACAACCAGCACGTTATTATTGACTTCATGTACGAATAAAATCAACGCCTGTTTATGGTACCTACTGAAGCGTTTAATCAGTTGCAGTTGCGAATAACATAAATAAATGCTCAGTGGATCAGTTTGATTATTCGATAGCGAACCAAAATTTTGCTTTTTAGAAGTGTAATCAAGTTTTTACTTTAAAAAATCAAAATTTAAGGTAAGAAAAATGCTTCGAACTTCAAAGTTTCTGCTGTTGTTAGAGAAGTCTAGTAAAGGTAGAGAGATGCATTATAATACCAAAGCTATACATTTGAGGTAGCAATAAATGTGAGCAAACTCTTCCCTCTCTTGAAATCGAACGACACAGAAAATCAGAGAGACGTCTTTAACTGGAAATAGACTGACAAAACATGGATTGTTAGGTCAACATCGCCAACTACTATACCGACTGTTTAATTCCGTTACGTTTAGCAGCGTACACTCTTTTTCCTACAATAATTTCATTTTAACAGATGAAAGGGAAAGCTTGGAAAGCATAGAGGTTAGTAATGTAATAGTTGAACACTATTTGAAAATTAGAGGGTGATGGATGGGCCTATTTGTCACTACTATGCAATCGAATCTTCTAAATACTACTGATGATATTTAAATCTTGTATATCAATTAAGATGAGATGTTATGAAATCATTCGACTCTGTTATAGGTTTGCTATGTTTCGATATATCATACTGTTATTGGTGATCCAACTCACTACTCATATTCACATGAAACCACTTTCGCCATCTAACGAACATCACTATGCAAAAGCACGTATGCTTACAAATAAAGCCAGCAGTCGTAGACCAGTTATTATTGATACAGACACAGATATTGATGACTTGTGGGCAGTTGCATATTCAATTAATGTAAGTGTTTGATTCTCTCAGCAATATACATTTTTTCTTGTTTTTTACTTTCCACAGGTACCGACAATTGATGTTGTGGCTATTACTGCAGTCGGCGATGGGTTTAGGTTTGTATTAATATACGCTTATCTCTAATTTTCTAGTTAATACACTTCTTGTTTTCCCTTTTTGCTTTTCATAGTGATCCATTCTATACTGCACCAAATATGTTAACCTTACTTGGCTTATTAGGCTGTAAAGATGGTGTTGCTGTTGCGTATGGTCGAAGGTAACAAACGAAAACGAATCAGAGGAATAAAACACTCATAAAGTATTTTAAGACATACACGGATTACGTAAACCTTAAAAAACGAAGGATAAAGTACAGATGAATAAAAACACTATGTATCTGCGCATGAGCGATTGTATTAAGCAGTAGAGTAGCTTGTAAATATTCATAAACTGAATTGAACAGTTTACCTACAAGTACTGAGCTAGATCTTTCCAAAGAACTGAATACTTTTTTTCAGTACACCAATACTATTTCCTGGTGCATCAGTTAGCTCAAGTATATTAGGCCCAATTGATACATATTTAACTTCACCAAAGTGTTTAAATCAAACAGCTGATATCTATCTACAACCATCACCATTCGATGCCGTGGAATTAATTGTACAAATATTAAAACACTCACACGGAAAAGTTGATATATTAGCCCTTGGTCCATTGACAAATATAGCTGAAGCTATTTCGACAGATCGAACAATAGTCAAAAAAATTGGCACGTTGTATTTTTCGGGTAAGAATAGAGAAATAGACTAATACTCTGTATTTTGTGTTTTATACCATTTGTTTACAATGACGAGTTGAAAGTCGTTAAACGTCTGCCTGATATGATCTTCATGTCAAATAACCGGTAGTGAAGAGAAAAGTTTTGAACTGATACCTTACGAACTATTGACACTATGTCCAGTTAGAAAATATTCTTAATTTATTACGTTTAACATTTTTTCACATTTCGTGTTAATTAGTTACACATGCACATACTATTCATTTTTGTTTTACTCTACGATAGGTGGTGATTTTCAAGCATTGTCACAATTCACGTTATTACCTCCTGCACAACAACCATCGTTTCCTTATCACACTAAAAATAAAGGAAGTAGTTGGAATGTTTTTCTAGGTAATGTACATACTCAGACAAACCTTTATTTCTAAAAAATTTTCTCCGATTTGGTTAGATGTACTTGCTATGCAACGTGTAGCATCAAGTGGAATCAAACTTGCTGCTATGCCATCGCCAACACAACTTTTATTACCCACTAATTTAACAATGTTAGAAATACTAGTTAAAAAGTTCAATATTAAGTTAACACCGTTTCTTCATGGACTAATAACAAACGCTGCTAAGTGTACAAATCAAGACGAAGGAGAAATTAAGTGGTGGGATAATAGTGCAGCACAATTAATGGTTCAAATGCAAACAAAAAATAACAAAAAGGGTTTCTGTAAAAAATTTGAAACAGTGTCCACATTATTTTTTCTAATACCTGAATCTGACCAGTTATTTGGACACGGTGTAGTTAATTTAACTAAAGCAGTAAAGGGACAAGCGCCTTTTACAATATGCACACAGGTGGATGAAACCATATTCTTAAAAGAATTTTTAACAAAACTTATTTCAAAGAAACATTATTCATGTGCAACAACATACAAGAACCGATATGACATAGCTTTACAACGGCAATTGAGTGGTTAGAGAAAACATTGAATAGATCTCTATATAAAAACCAGTGTACAATTAGTTAGTTATTTTCGAAATGATCGATCTGTTAACGTTTAATACACGAGACATTTATAGAACATGATAAAATGGTAGACATATTCAATGAAAAGGATAGAGACGTTCATATTTTTCGGTTTTTGATTCAGATGTCTTCCGACAGTCTCTTACAAATATTAAATCATTATTTGAAATTTTTTTCCCGTAATTAGTCTACTTTTTGTAATTGATCGTGTAATGCATTGAAACTTCGTAAAATAAATTCATTCAAAGTCAAAGGCAGATATGAAAATATGGATATTTCCGTTTCCTTTCTGCAATTATTTCTTTGATAAGAAATTTCTGTTTCTCCTCTCATACTGTGCATAAAGTTTTAGAGTACAGTCCAATGTACACTACTTTGGTGCAATATAAAGGTTTCGAAAAATACGAATATACATAAGATCTCCGATCATTCATACACTATAAAATGCCGTTTGAACAAAAAACAATTTCGACCTTTTTCAATCTCATATGAAAGAGCAAACATTTCTGAGTAACATAACGTTTGGCGATGGAAAAAATACTATATGGTTACTGAGCTATGAAGTTTTAAAAATTGATCCCGGGACAAAAATGGTGGTTTAAGTATCGGTTTCAGTAAAATTAAAATATCTTATTTTTGTAACGTGGTAGAGAGATCAGGTTTGCGTCACTATTTAAGTTGATGCGCAGACACCCGATGGCTCTAGTCACACATACCACCGCGTGGTCAATGATGAGTCGTCATTTTTGGATTTAAGGGCTGTTTTTGAAATTTTTATTTTGCACGAGAGAACAAAAAGTTTTTGAATATCTTTGCGACATCTTGTTACAGTCAAGTAGTTACTGTATGTAGGAGTATGAAAAGAGAAATGTGAGATTTTTAAGTTCTGAGGCAAAAGCGAATTTTTAAACATTAAAACCCGGATTTTGTCCAGCAAAACTAACTTCATATTCATGCTCAGCGTCAAAAACTGCATTTAATGATATGATCGAAAAATGCATTAACATTTAATGCGATTTATTACGAGACACCCGTTAAACAGAACATCTGTAGGCGTTTTACTCACTAAACACGAAGAGTATTTATTTTAGATGAAAACAAAAGTTTTACAGAAGGTCGAATGACATATCATTAAATCAAAGATCAAAATTTTTTTCAACAAAGAGGCATTTTCCAGAGTGCAGATACATCTTAAAATGTTCACAAGGATTTTCTCGTAAAATTAAGACATCTCGCGACTCTCTGCGCCGTTCGGTTTGGCATATATTGACACAACAAAATGAAGGAAAAAAATAACGAAAGTTCCTTGCGGTAGTAGGGTTAGCGGTCCATGCCTTACCGATTAAACACATCATTCCAAGCGTCTTTCGATTCTTCTGCTTCTCAAGCTTCAAATTCAAATCTTCTTTTGATATTCAGTTGCCTCATTCATTTATTCCATTTCATTAGCTTGTTCGAAAAACTGTTACTGTTATTGGTCATATTCCGCTTCTTTTCGACGACTCGTCGCGTTTAGTGGAGGTATTAAATTTCTTCTAAAAAACTAAATATTAAATTTCTATTATTTCAGGCTATGGTTGTACTGTCTTAGGCCACCCTTTTCTTATGCAAAAAAATAATGTGCTGCTATCAGTACACGGAGCTTGCTGAATAGATATGATTATATTCATAAACGGTCAGAAAGAAATGATCGTATCGTCGTTGACAGTTTGGATGATTCATGATCGCAGTAAAAATGATGATAAGATTGTCTTTTTTTGTTGCTATGCTTGATTTTTCCAGTAGGAAAAACCAATTCGATACTGTCACAGCAAGTGAGACCAGATGCACGACTAAGTTAAGATGGAATCACTCAAAAGCAAAGTCAGACGATGGAAGACATTATGAGAGCTGAAAAAACAGGATTTACTTGTGCTAGACGGATTGAGCTAAAACTTTGGGAAATCAATAATGAACTGAAGTTGCATACTTTAGGAAAGTTTCGTGTTCACACATTATATCGTTTAGGAGATATTTTCGCTATCTTAACGCTGAATGCATTTTAAAGATAACAGGTAGAACTTACACTACTACGCTTTGTAGTCGTTTAAATGCGTTCGCTGCTAAGATAGCGAAAATGTCTCCTAAACCATATAATGTGTAAAAACGAAACTTTCATAAAGTATACAACTTTACTTCATTATTGATTTCCCAAAGTCTCAGCTCAATCGGTCTGACGCATGCAAATTCGATTTTTTAAGCTTTCTGGAAGTCTTTTGTCAGATCATTGAAAACAGCACAATCCTCCTTCCTCTTTATGATTATCTGCTAATTATTTATACATTAACAAATCGTTTCTGACCTTCCGCTATTTGAATATCACTAAACATTCCCAACTATGGGTAATGAGATGTTAAAACGTTTGCACGATAAAAATTCTTTAAAAGAACGACTTATACAGTTCGATCTCACTAGAAATTCAGAGTAGTTCAGCTTTTTTCTCTCTCAATTGAACCACGAAAAAAACTTTTCTCGCAAAACGAAAAGAAATTGTCGGTATGAACATGTTCCCGAAAATACCTGTTCGGTTTGCATGGATACACGCTGATGTTTCCGAACGTTTTTCTTGAAGACGTATTTCGGAGAATACGGAAACCTTCTTCCATTTCCAAGAAAATGCCATCTCCAAGGTTGGCTCCGAAACTTAAAGAGTTATGGAAAAAATTTTCCACTATTTCTAGTAGGAAAACGTTCGATATTCATTAAAAAACAAGCTTTTCTCAAAAATATTAATTTTCAGGATTATCAGAAAACTCACCAAATCCTCTCATAAATCATTTTGAAGTGTTCAGAAGAAACCGAGTGTTTCGAACCCCTTAAGAACCTCGATCGGTTCACGCGTTCTCGTTTTAGTCTGCTCATTCAAGTTCAACACCCTCAATAGCCTCCAAAAGACTTTTAGAAATCTTTGATTTACACAGAATTTATGAGCTCACTTAAAAATATAGCTCGAACGAACCATGGAAACTTTCTTTTATCTTTCAAACAAAAAGAAACTTAAGACTCGGTACGTCAGCAGATTGAGAATGCTGTATAAGGGTCAAAAACGTAATTAATATATACCTTTTGTGGTTCTGGCTTGTAGAGACATGTCGTTTTAGATATACGAAAACATTTTTTAGACCTCGAAAATCAATAGTGACCAAGATATGAATGTTTCAAAAAAATGCGAAACGTCGTAGAAAATCAACTTTTTCAGTATTTTATTAGTTTCTTTCTAGTTTATTACGAAATTCTTCATAGAGTCGTCGACCTTCGAAACAATAGTTGAACTAGTGCTACAAAAGTTAGGCTCACTCATGATGTGCACAAAACAATTATTTCCAGTATATGTTATTTCAATCTTGTTTAGAGTTTTTACACGTTTTTCGTGTCAAATGATTTTTCCTTTTAATTAATAGACATATTAAATAATGTGATATTCCCATAGTCAGAATAATAAGAATATTTATGTATAACATTATATTTTAGACCATGTGTAAAACTTTCATAATAATACAGTGCTAATCAAAGTCATCTAGCATTTGTACACTACTCCTTTACAGCCGTGACTGATGGATATCAAAGAAGGGTGCTCGATTTTTCTTGATTTTGACCCACTGCTTTTTCGACATGATTTTGATCAGATTTTGTAGAGAAAATAATTTTACACATTTTGAAGTGCATATGTACCATTATAACCTTATGGAGAATTTTTAAATTAACTTTTCTGAGGAAAGTTTATCAGTGCTTAACAAAAACGATTCTGTTCAAGATTTAATATGAAGGTACGGTAAAGCTTGATGTAAAAAAAATAGCCAGTTAAAAACTGAACAAACTAGTACATCGATCATAGTCACACACTGTATATTTAAGGAGAAATCGTTTATTTCCGAACATCGCCTTCTAATGATCATCCTTCAGCGATCATTTTTCCCCATTTTAGCCCATAAATAAGAGAGGATGCATCTAGTCTTTAGTATAGAAAAATAGCTCTTGAAAAGCTCTACAATATTCTGAATAAACAACTTCTACATACCATTGGCTCAATCCAATATAATTCTAGTACGAGAAAAATCAAGGAAATGCAGTCATATTGTGCAGTTTTCACCATCAAATTTCAATTTTTTCTCAAATCTAATATCATATTTGGAATTGAACATCGAAATTTGTAGACAAGTTTCATTTTTCAGCAAAAATCTTGATCGAAAAAATTCACATGGTCCAAAATGTAATGTTATAGTTGACCAACATAGCTAGTTTGGACTTAAAAAGCATGTTATATCTATATGCAGATGATACATCTATTTTTTATACAGTGACACCTAATAAGTCTGTATCTTACGTAACAATCCAAGGTCACTTGGATAAATAAGACGATATGGACGAATAAATGATTAGTCAGTTTAAACACACAGAAAACAGAAGAAATAACCTTTTCATCTCTTGGGCGGAATGCAACGTTTCCTCCATGTTCGTCAAACGGCAACATGCTAAAAAAAGTGGCTATTCTAACTAAAAACAATAAAACAATCAGTCGCGTTGTTCCGGAAGAATTTGAAGAAGCTGAACGTTTCGAACATCTATAATTATTATGACTTTTAGTCTTTCAGACCGTTAAAAAATAATAAGATGCTGAAAAGTAACACAATCATATCAGTTTGTTAACAAAAAGATGAATATATATTCCGTAGAACTAAATTTTTCTGTTTAGCCTTTATTAGCATTGTCTTCTGGTGATGGAATCGGTTGTCCCGCTTGAGCTTTGTCTGCTGCCACTGCCGCTGCCACTGGTGTTTCTGATGCTGCAGCCGGGGGTAGTGATTTCAATGGGCGAATGATCCCCAGTGGTGGTCCGAATCGGAATGATGGATTACTCGACGGTATCACATACCAGAATCCAGTTGATGGGCGATACACAGCTATATCTGTTTTACCATCAGCATCGAAATCAACACCTGTCACTGGAATGTCGTTGGGCAAACCCCATTGTGTCATGATTATTTTAGCTGGATTACTGCTTAACAATATGTACCAGATACCTGTTGACGGTCGCCAAACAGCAAAATCAGATTTTGAATCGCCATCAAAGTCACCCGGTCTACAAGAAAAAAGAATTCACCCTAGCTAGATGTTATAGGTAAATGATGAGAAATCAAGTACACCGGTATATCGCCATAGGCTGCAACGCCCCATTGAAATACGATTTGTATCAAAGGATTTTTGTTTAACATAATGTGCCAGAAGCCAGTCGACGGACGATAGATTGTGTAATCAGTGAGTCCATCTCCGTCCCAATCACCGGCCACTAGAAAAAGAAGTATACGTAAAAAAAAGACATTTATTATTTATTATAATTATTATTATTACTCTAACCTGCTGTATCATTCAGAGAGCCCCATTTTTTACTTATTTGAATTCCTGGTGAGTCACTCAAAAGAATATACCAGAAACCATCTGATGGTCGCCATACAGTAAAATCAGCTCGTTTATCGCCATCGAAATCACCCACTGGAAAAAGACCAGATGATTAACAATACAAACAAATAGTTCACTCTTATTCACCTACCTACAGGTACATCACCTGCAAAACCCCATCGCTTTCTTAGTATGGCCACAGGTGTAATACTCGGAATAATTTCCCATAGATAAGAACCATTTCTTGGCCGCCACAAAGCATAGTCACTCTTCAAATCACCATCAAAATCGCCGGCAACTGGAAGATCAAATGAATATCCCCATCGTTGTGTGATTAATACCGAAGATCCCGAATACGGTATGATGAACCATGTTCCTGATACTGGTCGATAAACAACAAAATCTGTATGTTTATCTCCGTCATAGTCAGTTGCTCTTGGTATATCTCCATTAAGACCCCATGGTCGTTTAAGAATCAGCGACGGATTTGACGAAGGTATCCAAGTGAAAATACCACTTGAAGGTGTCCATACACAGAAATCACTTCGACCATCGCCGTCAAAATCGGCTTTCGGCACAGGTTTATCCCCCGATAAACCAAACTGTTTCGTCCATTGAACTGATGGGTTACTCGAAGGATTGATATACCACGTACCGTTACGCCACACTGCATGATCAAATCTGCCATCACCATCGTAGTCTCCAGCAACCTGAAAAGAAAAATGAACGATAGAACAGAAGAACAGAGATAAAACAGAAAACATTTACCGGAGGTCATATTCCGATATCACTTGAGGTATATTAATGTTAAGGATATAAAACACATATCAGCGTGTATGGAAAGATTACCTCATAAGTAAATTGTTCACTGTATCACCAGGAAGACCCCACTGTCTAACATATTCAACTGTTGGATTGCTGCTATATATTGTGTACCAAAATCCTGTAGATGGCCGCCAAACGGTAAAATCAAACCGTTTATCACCATCAAAGTCACCCACAACCTAAATAATTTCAGCTCAAAAATACATTATCAATAGTAAAACCTCTATTAGTAGGTTACCATACAGTACGTCTCCTTATTATGGACACTCTCAGATCCAACGGACCAATTTTTGTGGGAAATGCATCTCTCTATTCTGGATATGAACACTTTTTGTGCGGTTCCTCTTGCTCTTATAACCTCTCTAATGTGAACACAAGTGCAATGTTTCTCTCAATCTCTCTAGAGTCTATCACCAGTCACTTATTTACTAAAACTGACTATTGTACGTATGAAAAGAAAGAATGAAATCACGACATGAACTAATTTTAAAAGAAAAAGTTGCATTAATTAATGATAATAAGGATAGTATAGGTTATCACAACATAACTTAGCTGAGAAATATAATATGTTACTTTTTAGATGTTACCCAAGCAAAAACTTTTAGGTTATTTATCTAGATATACGTGGAACTGAATCTAGATAAATAACCCCACAAAATTGGTTTGTTTTTGCTTGGGTATTTGTTGAACTGCTGCAGCGTGGAAAGCTGTTACAGATACAACAATACGAAATACATTTCGTGCATCTTTCTAAAATAAACACCTCCCAGAATAAACGCTTTTGGAAAGTCCCGATGGTGTTCATAATAGAGAAGTTTTACTTTAATAGACAATTCCAAGCTTTTTGAAGTAGATAACATACCGGCGTGTCTCCAGGCAAACCCCATGTTCTCGTGAGAATGATTAGTGGATTAGTACTAGGTACAATGTACCACGTCAATGTAGTTGGGCGCCAAATGGCAAAATCACCAAAGCCATCACCATCATAATCACCACCGACCTAAAGAAAATAAACGTTATAAAACCGATAATATTAATACCAACAATGTGGGCAACAAGGACAACAATAGAAATAAAAACTCTAGTGCAATTGGGGCTGAAATATCATTAATGAATATGTGGTATAGAGCGTTACACTGAATTCAGTGCTCCGTACGACATATCCGCTTGATAATGACCGTATATATAGTTCGAAAATTCGTGTTTTAATAATAAATTTTTCTATTTATTCGTAATAAATTCTTAATCATATTAAACCAAGTTAAAAATCTTTCAGCCGCAATTGCATTAAAGTTTGTAAATGTTATAAAGAACAAAATAATGAGAAAATAACTGACTGGCAAATCGTATGGCAATCCCCATTGAACGATTACTGGTATCGATAGATTATATCGAAATGGCCTGGGTGTAATCGTTCGTTTAGGTACAGCTGGCGGTAAATTAACAACGGCCCATGTTGGATCATCTAAATCAGGGTTCACATCTCTTCCTAATGTTCCGGCATTACCGTAACGTGTCAAATCTTGAATAATTTGTCCTTTTCCATCCATAAGTGGCCACAGTCCAATCAAACATGTTTCGTTTCCAATTAATGTTAGATTCATGGTAGAGAATATCTCGTTAGAGGTCCGAATACAATTCCATAATCGTACATCACACATGGCACCAATAAAACCTTGTTGCACGCTCAACTTATAACTGTTACCCAATACCAAAGAGCCCATGTTGAAGTTACTCAGAAGAGGCGAATTAAGGAATGACACGGTGGAAACAAGAAGACTATTGATAAATAAATTTACACTGCTATGCAGTGTGTCAAAGACGCCAGCGACATGTGTCCATTTACCTAATTCGATTGGTTGAGGAGTAAAAACGGATAAACTATTACTAGCCTCACCGACTGTGAAAGATATTTTTCCGTTAGATAAATAAGAAATAGTAAATAGGCCACGTAAATCGAAGATATGTGTTTCTTTTACAGGTATTAAATCCGGTCGAACTCTTACTTCGATAGTGAGATCATTAGTGTTACGAAAATTGAGATTTACAGTTGGTATGACCGCACGTTGAGTACCATCATCACGATTGAATACCATTGCTGGCCGGTTCGATTGACAAACACATTTCTTTGCCCAACTTATACAATTGACGACGTTGATGAATGTAGAATTGATCTCATCTTCTCGAAATAAGTTGTTGATGACACTTAAATGCAACACGTCGACAATATCTTGCAACCGATGAACATAGATGGTGTGAACAACCCACTGTCCGTTAGTCCATTCAATGTCCAAATCCTTCTTCTCGAATATTGACACAATTTCATTAACAGCTAATGTTTGTCTCACTGTCTTGATTGCAAAATACGGATTATCATTCGGATGACTACGCACATGGAATAAAACGTCTTGCTGACTTCGACTCTTATAAAATAGATCATTATTGATTATTTGCTGTAGAGATTGAATATCCTCGGACATCCAAATATCTTTAGTAGAACTAATATCAAGTGTTAAGCGTGTTGTTGTATCCATACCTTGTTGAAATAATTGAAGTAACTGTTCTTCACTAATCTTATCATCCAATTGTTGGACAGCAATGAAATATTCTGCAACAAATTTTGACATTTGACTTAAGTGAATAAATTGTTGCTGTCGTCGATTTTTGGTGGCGAAAGAAACTAAGTTTTTCAACTGTACATTGGATATTCGATTACGAATGACTGGAACGTTGAGTTGAAACAAGAATTTACTCGAATATTTTCCACATAGAATCTTTTCTACAAGATTGACTGCTACGGCCGTTGATGAACATTCAAATCGACATGTAAATGGCACTAGTGTTTTTGTAACGTATGCCTGATAACAAGGCAGAACACCAGGTAATGGTTGATTAAATTCATCGACAATGTATGCAGTTAGAATATCAATGGGCAATGGTTCAATTAGCCAATTGATAGCAAATTGACTAACATCAGAATGTAACAATGGTGCAATGGTCGTACGTGTCAAATGATCGAGATCACCATTACTAAAATGAATAGTAATTCTTATGTCATTGTCAAGTTGAGATAACCATTTTTCATCATTTATCGATAAGATGACAAGTGGATCATAAAAAAAAGACCATGTTTTTGGATCGCTGCCATGATTGCTAATCGATACATAAATAGATACATTTCTATTTTCATATAATATTTGTGTCAGATATTCGATGTTATTCTTATTTCTTTGACAATGAATAAAAATTCGAAATAATGTAACGATGAAAATGACAAATGTTTTCATTTTCGAAACTGAATACGATTAGTTTGTCACGATACACGGGTATGATAATGCAGGTAGATAATAAAGCAAATTATGACGAATCAAGTTTTCTTTCTTGTTACATTAGTTAAAAACCAAGTATATATATATATATATATATATATATATATATATATATATCAGGTATATTTATGTAAAACAGTACAATATATTTCACAATTAAATATTTTAACGCATTATCTAAAGTGCATATCTATAGAACTCAATAAATTAATACATTTGGTCAACGTTTGATGTATGGATACATCGAATCGAATTGTGGATGTCTGCGTATCGTGTCGATGCCATACTGACGAATAAGCATCGTCCGCAGGCATAAGTCAGTTTGAGAATGAGTTCAAATGTGAAAGCCTTCTAACGTTGAATAAGAATTGAACCCTCAAGAAGGAGACATCCAGAACTGGAAAAAGGATAGAGCTAAGCTACAAAAAGATGGGATTCACCTGATTAAAGTACATTTGATGATAAAACTTATGTAGCGTTTCCGGTTCTAGCTGTTCGCGTCTAAACCATTCAGTTCTTATTCAATGTTAAAAGACTAAACAAAACTACTTTCACATTTGAACTTATGCCCTGAAGAGCTCTACTAACGATGTTTCTTCGTAAGTATAGCATCGGAACTAGACGCCCATGCAGCGACGTAGCCAACCATGGGCCCAGGCCTCCTTGGAGTTTTTTATTCCAAAAAATATTCTGTTTCAGGATAATGTATCAGCTTTTTAGCATGTGATTTAAGCATGTATTTCTCTTATTCTTAACTCGTAGAAAAAATTAGAGTGTGCTTAGGAAAAGGGTAAATTTACTGAGTGGAGACAGAAGTGCTTCAGAACGGGGAAAAAGGGGAAAAAACTATGTTAGGAAATCCGAAATTGTTTTGTGTCCACCGCTCCTAAAAATCCGGGCTGCGCCGATGTTCAGAGTTCGATTATCAGACTGATCTATCATGTTTTTCTCAAAACATCACCCAATGAGAAACACTAAAGTAGGACTCATAACATCACATCGATCCTCATAGAAGAAAATGAAGTTTTCTGCGAAAGAGGATTATACCCTTTATTTTAGTTAGAGCTAGAATAAGAAATGATGCTTTTTCCTGTGTTTTGTAGTTAGCGAGACTGTTAAAGACACTCCGTTCTACAGCCAGAAAATCTTTCTTAAACTCTGTAAATAAACTCAAGAATAACTCTTCATTAGATCCCTCGTTTCCGCTTTTCTTCTAACTTGAACTTGATCATTTTTCGTCTCGATTGAAAACTTACACTTTTACACGTTCATTTAAAAAAAATTCATAAGCTGATTAATAATCTAAACTAAAATTTGTAATATGAAAATTGAAAACTACTTACTAGTTAGACTAGGTTACCTCATGGGTTAAGCTAGTTATCAACATGACGTAAATCGTCGGTGGTTAATGACTGCATGGCGGGTTAATCGATTTTCTAAATCCTTGCGTAAGTAGGAAAGAAAACAAACTATTTCATAAATAATCTATGATTGTCGAGTTTTACCTGTTCTTTTGCCTCGTTCTTCTTAAGTACACCGTTATCTAAATAAGAATCATATGTCAAACACATGATGTACACAAAGATGAATGACATTCGGCTCAACTGATTATTACTCTATGTGACTTGGAAACTCTTCAAGATGTATATAAAATAAAATAACACTAAATAACATACGATAAACGCAATTGATAAACAAGCTGCAAACAATACTTCGCTTACTTGGCAAAAAACTCTGCTAGTACTGCACATTACTGAATTTAAGTAAATTTGAATTCAAATTTGTGTGCAGTAACTATTTCACTACATGCACAGTGTACACCCAGGCCGGCTTTTCATGAAAGAATGAAAGTTGATTTTTCAGTAATTTTAAGGATAATTAATATACGTTGAAACATGCTCTACTTATTGGCAAAATTTTTATGTCCTAGACCTTATTTAAGCTGGGAAAATTCTACACACAAAAACACACTAAAAAACCCGTGTCCATCGGAAAGTCGGATTCTACGCAAAAATTTTAAAAAATCAAACATAGCTATTAGGCAAACAAACATATATTCAGAATCAGCATCACGTGTGTTATCGATTGGTAAAAAACTTTTCTGTTTTTGAGTCCTAAAAGCCTTGATTTTCACGCTCGATTCCTCTTTTCCAGACACCAGATCATTTGCATTGAAAACTAATGGCATATTCGGAATCAGCGTGTGAAACTGCATCGGATGATGTATGACACAATATATTTTCTAACAAAAACATTTTCTCGAAAAAATGTAGATAAGGGTTGCCTTAGATGTTTTTCGTCGAAAAAAAGTTTTTTTCAAAAAATGCTTTTTTTCTTAAAGGTGGTTTTTGAAGTAATATACAGCCACTTTTGAGCAAAAGAAACACGTTTTTGAGCACGAAAGTTACATGACCACCTGCTATCCAAAAAATGCACACTGTGACACGTGCCAGACGTTATCGGTAGTCTTGGCATCGACTTTAATAATGATACAAACCCGACCTCTCTATTACTCCACAAAGCTGAGATATTTTAATTTAACTGAAACCGGTGCCTCATGCTCAAATCGACTGAGCTATGACTTTTATGTTGATGGTAAGACTACTGATAATACCTGTCACATGTGCCACCGCACGTGTCACTTGATCAATAATGGTCATCATTTTTTGGATTTGAGGGCTATTTTGAAATATCTTCACTGTACGGAAGAATAAACATTTGTTGGATACTTTTGCGTCATCATGTAGCTACTGAACACACATTTAAAATTCAAATTTACTTAAGTCCAGTAATGTGGAATAAACAACAGACACGTGTGCATGCAGACGAGCTTTTGCTGAAAAAATGAAAGTTGACTTTTCAGTGATTCAAACGGTGATTAATATACTGTGAATTATGCTCTATTCGATGGTTAAAATTTTTTTCTACTACCACATCTAAAACATTCAAGCCTTTCCAAAGTGTCTTCAGCTGAGCTGATGATAAGTTATATAAAATTTGAATTCAAATTTACTTAAATCCGGTAATGTGCAATACCGGCAGACTTTTTTGTCAAGTAAGCGTGAATTATTGTTTGCAGCTTGTTTATCAACTGCGTTTATCTTATGTTATTTAGTGTTATTTTATTTTATATACATCTTGAAGACTTTCCAAGTCACATCGAGTAATAACCAGTTGAGCCAAATGTCATTCATCTTTGTATACATCATGTGTTTGACATATGATTCTTATTTAGATAACGGTGTACTTAAGAAGAACGAGGCAAAAGAACAGGTAAAACTCGACAATCATAGATTATTTATGAAATAGTTTGTTTTCTTTCCCACCTACGCAAGGACTTAGAAAATCGATTAACCCGCCATGCTCAAGTACAATTCATATTAGGTTAATATAATAACTATCCCCTACTTATTAGCCTCATAAAACAAGGATGATTCGTTTAACAGCGTATCATAGTTTACATCGACTTTATCTCAACAGTTGGTATAAACTATTTACTATTCAAGAGAAGTATATAAATAAACTATATCATGCTATCGAAACGCAGAGCGCTATCGAAACAGTTCGAGACTGACAGGACTAGAATAAGTTAGACTCCTGGTCCAGTTTTCCAGAAACCTCGAAAAATCCCCAAGAATTGTCTGATTAAGTCATAACTG